GGCCCATCTCAGGTCACATGCTGCGCAATCCAGTGCAAAGCAGTTTAGCCATACGCCAACATCCAGGCCAGATCAGATTATGCTGCAATGAGGATTACCCCATGTTTTGGCGATGATAACCTCACAAAGCCCATATGGTATGGCTAATAATGTGAAGCTGAAGAAAAAAAAATAAAAAATAAGCTGAGTAGTTTGGCTGTCAAGCACTATCGGATCAGGAAGACCGTTGTTACCCTGTGGAAGAGTCATGACTAGCATGTTGCTGATCATTCTTCATGTAGCATAAGATTGAAGGGTAAACAAGCATCAGTTGTATATCAGATTGTCTGAAGCATAATGATTAATTATAATAACAAGGTTGAAGCAATTTGTGTCAAATCAAGCCAATAGAAACAGCAATTGTGTTTCCTGAAACTGCTTTTACTTATTTTGACGAGATACATTGAGAAAGGCATATATTTTAGGTAAAATTATGCTCACCATAACACGTCAAGCACAATTATTATTTTTTTGCTCGTCTCATCTTTTAAATTACAGATATGGCTGTCTGAGCTGCACGAGCTGAGAAAGAAGGCACCAGTTTGATGTTGTGCAGGACTGAGCTTTTCTATGAATCCAGATGCTGCCTAGTTTCTGCCCTGTGGAGGAGTTTCACACTTCACAAACCAGCGATCAAATGGAAAGGTGCAAATGACTCATGTGGCTGAAGGGGCCTCCTTTACATACACGTACGCAGACATTATGAAATGAACCGTTAACCGTCTTTGCATAACTAGAAAACATAGATAACACACAGAGAAAATGGGACCTACCAGCTGTCCTCGTCCTCTACCTCCAAACACTCATCTTCCAAATCTAGGACGTCCACCTCATCCAGCGCAGTTTGGTCCACACCTGAGTCACTCTCTGTGAGCGTCTCTGACTCGTAGCTCTCCTGAGACGGGCTCTCAGGGGTCTGGCTTTGCCCCTGAGACCGTTCGATGCCGTTCCTACATGTCAGAGTAAGAAAGCCCCCACACGGATCCAGATCTTCCTCTTCCACCCTGTCCTCCTCATCCTCCTCCTCATCATCGTCGTCTCTGTCTTCCAGCCTGCTGATCACGGGCAGAGGGGACATATCTTCCCCACTGCTGTTGTTGTCCTGAGGGGGTGACAGCTTGCAATCTGTGCTGCCCGGTTCTCCACTGTGGTCCACCCTGATCTGATCACAGGTCAGCCTCTTGTTGATATTGTCAGCGGCACTCATGTTGCTATTGGCTCCTCTGGGGATAACAGTCTTGGCTCCCCTGTTGCGCAGCGTCTCATTCTGGACCTCTAACCTTCGAACCAGCTCTTGCAGCTTGCGCACCTCCTCCAGCTCCACTCCAGCCAGGTCATGACCCCTCTCCTCGGCCTCTTCACACATGGGATCGGAGCTCTCCGTGAGGCCGGTGGGCCTGCCGTTATCGGGCTCAGGGACCACACCGGAACTGTCCGGGACCACCATGCTGCTACTCTGCTGGGAGACACCGTAACACATGCTACATGACACAAGCGCTTCATAATTCTGCCTCCTTCCGTTACATAAACGTATTCACCCAGCACACCAGCTCAAATATAAACACGCTATTCACATGTAAATCCATCGGTCTTAGCTTGTGTTTCCACTTATCTTATCGTAATGTCATTGCCCCAGATGAGTTAGTAGATGCTGTATAAGCTAATTATTAGCCTAAAACTGCGACATTGTGTTGCAACCGAGACAAACACCTCTCCCTGCCCGAATGCTTGCATGCATGCTAACAACAGAACCGTACCGGTGATTCAGCCGTGCTGTCCCTGCGAGCTGGTGACTGAGCCTCCCGCCACTCAGAGCTCAAACCCTCCACAGCAGCACCGGGGACCGCATGAATGGAGACGCTAATTACAACCACGAGAAAACGACCCCGCGGACCGAAAGCGGCTGTCCAAACAGTGAAGCGGGGAAAGCAGCTAGTCCATCTTCTGTTGTTGGTGAGCGCATCGCACAGCTGCTAACTAGCTTGATGATGGAATTAGTTAGCCCAGTTCAGTTGAGCAGACCTGCAGCGGAGCTTCACTCGCCCCTCCTCCTTCGATTTATCCTGTTGGTTAGCGCCCTCTATGGGAGAACCTCGCACTGCAGTAAGACACTTGTAATGCACAGTGAAAGCCGCTATGTGTCGCTGTGTCAAACAACGTTTCCAACTGTAGGGGACAGAATACGTCTTTTGGTGTGCCCGCTGCTGGTTCATAAATAACAGTGATAAAAAACAAAAAACAAATTGACTTATGAAATCATCGCTATTTGGCTAATTGGAATAGGCTACAGACAAAACAAAAGCTGTTGTGCTACCTCTATCCTTTATCCATTTTTGTCTTTTAATAAAACAAAAAATGTGTACCAAGATTCACTTTTAAATTTAATTTAGATTTCGGGTCAAGAATTTAGGAACCTTCTACACCAACAACCCACACTGGGATCCAAAAGTTCAATTAACAATATGGTTCTCAAAGTGTACACACCCATTCTTGTAGTTACAGGTGTTTGTGCAAATATTATGGGTGTGTAACCAGATAGACACTAAAATACACAGTAGTCATTCAATCAGTTAAAAATAACAGACATTTTTTCTACTTATAATGTTCAACAATAAGTGAGTCATTTAAAATAGTATCATTTAGCATTACGTTCATAAGTTTACATGCAGTTTTGCATTTTCAAGTGTATGTCCCTTGATCTATGGTTTATTCCTACTAACAGAACTGGTATAACCATGTCAGTTTCAAAAGCTGCCTTGTTTACATGCACATTTTCAGCTCTGCCTATTTTTTATGAACTGAAGTCAGCCTTCTTTGACGGGAACTCTTTATTGTCCCCAGTAACCTCAGTGCAGCACTAGATGAAAGTGCTGCACTGAGGTTACTAGTGTTTCTGTTGAGCACAGAAACTCTCTTACTTTTTATACACATGTTCTAATTACAAGCAACAAGGATGGCTACTGTTGATGGCCATTTCTTAGCATGCAGACCAAACTGTCCACATCTGTAAACTTTTCATTAGGATCATTTGGGTATTTTCTTTTTTCATTATGATTAAATAGCAGTTGTTTATTGCCCAATCACAAACCATTCGTGACAGAAATGTTTTTTATATCATTTGTATTGTCTGAAAAATAACCCAAAAAGGGTCCTAAGAGTGCCAAGAATATATCCCCTATACTCTCACATCACTGCGTCCAGGCTGAACTGTTGACACAACAGATGAAATACGGGACTGACATCATACTTTGGTGTTTTTCACAACATATTCTGACCCTACCATTTGAATTATACAGCTAAAATGGAAACAAATCAGGCCAGACAACATTGTTCTGATCTTTTAGTATCCAATTTTGGAATTAGCTAGCCCAGTTCAGGACAGTGTGGCTATTTGAACTACTGTTACTTTTCAACCATCTCAAAGCAGTCTCCTCCTTCCTCTCTGTCCTCAAACCTCAGCAAGACATCTTTGACCACATAACTCTGGCCTGATTGCTTCTAGACCGTTAAAATTGAGAAAATATTTAGATAGAACCATCTTACAGCTGTGAATGAGCTAATCTATCTAACACATTATCTTCCAAGTAGGTTTTAGAACCAATAAAAAACAAGTCTTTGACATCACCCTAGGAAGGATTATTTCTTAGTACTCCATCCTACCAGTGTGAGTAGGATGGAGAACAGAAAACAAGGAACAAATTCTGAACCTTTGTAGCAAAGGCTAATATACCAAAATTATTGCTGTAGGTCATCAAGGACTGATCCAAGAGAGGAAAAAAAAGAGAATCGCTGTAGAAGTCACCTGTCTCAGTTGGCATATGTTTTCAGGATTCAAAACATGAATCCTGAATAGAGAAAAGAGAATGACTCAATGCCATTTTTGGTTAGGCGATAGATAGACGGAAGCTGAATCATTTAGGAATAAAATCTGTTTCCATGGCAGCTTTCCTCAACAGGTCTCTGTATTTCTGTGAATGTTGTTTTCACTGACACATGTGAAAGAGTTGTGTTCAAACAGTTATAAACCACATCTAAAGACACTTGTAAAAAAAAAAAAAAAAAAAAAAAAAAGAATACTACCAGGTGTCCCACTAAAGCATTAGGGACTATGAAAAAAGCTGTTTCAGCTAGCTATGCGGTAAAGCTAATCTTGAAAGTATTGTGAGGCTCTTTGTGGTGATAATGAGCTTTATTTGGCTCTTAATGCTGAACTGGTTCACCACCCCTGACCTAAAGTCTCTCAACCTCTCCGACAACTATTGCAGACTTGTAGCACTAGCTTAAAATTTCACACCCTTCACGTTATGCTGCTTTTGTCAGTGCTGCCTTCAATGAGTGTGGGAAATGTTAGTATCAAAGAGCCGCAGGTTTGCCACCCCCGGTCTATGGTATCCTGAGGCCTCTTCAGGACCTGGATGTCTTGCTGCAGTTGATGGACCCATAAATTCTGCTTGGTGCCAAAAAGTCCTCAAGAATGTCTGACCATCATTCTGTGATCTAAAGCTAAAGAAGAATGTAGATTATTGTTAGTTTCGCAAAAGAGCAAACAAAAAAACAAACAAAAAAACAATCATTCAAAGCACATGGCAAGTGCACCTTTCAGTGTGTCAACAAAAGGTAACAAGAAGGTGTTGGAATGGCCTAATCAAGGTATGGACTTCAATTAATCTGAGATACTGTGATCTCAAACCATCAGTCCATGTTCAAAAATCTCAGTTCATGCTGAATTAAAACAACCATGCAAAGTAGAGTGGGACAATTTTACTCCACAGTAATGTAAAATGACCAAAGTAGTTTGCATGGAGGATTTTTCCTGTCATGTACTTGCATGCTATCAGAAAAGCATGTCCCAACAGGGATGGTGTGGAAAAACCCTGCACAAGTTTAAGCTATTTGCAAAAAAATGAAAGTCTGGGAGAAGAAATCAGTCTGGACGCATTCAGCAGAAACTCAAACACAAGTTTGCTCTGTTCCGTGTATTCCGTCATTTAGGAAGAACAGCAAATGCAAGAGTCACAAAATATGTCACTACATTTAGAAATTAAAACTTAGGCTGAAAAACCTAAGACACAAATTGTTCTGCCAGCTCAGATAGAAATATATTCTTAACCACTCTTCTGTCCCTGCAAGCCCAGACCTGTGGGTGGAAGAATGACCTTCATCAGAATGCTGACGACACAAAAACAACATAAATATTTTGGTTCCAGCTCTTGCGAAGGAGATAACCGATGTTTTTTAAGAAAAAAAAAAAAAAGTAAACAGAACATATATCAAACCCAGGATTACCAGACAAGATTAAGTAAGGCAAACCAAAACAAGGTTTTAAATTGAATCCTGCACCATCTAATAACCGACGGTGGCAATTTTGTATGAGATGATTATTATTTTACTAAAGTACTGTGCAAAAGAAATCTCTGGTCATTGTGTGTTCTCAGTTTACTTGATATTTAGATCTAAGAACATCTGATTGAAAGTGTTGGAATGTAAAAAATGAGAGGCATGTTTTGACAAAACTCTTATGGTTCTTGAATGATTACAACATCTGACATGTTAAAAGTGAATTTTGAACAGATAACACAGTGGCTCATATTAAGCAACACATTTGTCACGTAGATTTTTTATTAAAACAAAAATATGTTTTTTCCCCCCTTTATTCTTCTCTACATTGTCATTAAATGCACAATTTACAGGCATACTTTTGGTATTAGCAACAGTGAATTACGTCATTGCAGTACATTTGCATTTTAATTTTTGTCTAAGTATGCGTCCAACACTCACAATTTACTGCCTTCGGTTCAACACTGTGTAAAATCTTGAGAAAGAGAGCACAAGAAGCACCCGTTACATTTAGATACAAGTTGGATTACGTTGAGACCATTCAGTCGCTTTGAGCAACCTTTAAACCCATTTCCACTAAACACGGCAGACAGCAGTAAAGATGTAGATGTAGAATTCTGAACTGGAAGACAAGCAAGGTGATCGAGAAGGACAGAAGAAGCAGGAAGAAAAATCATGGCAGGAGTGTTTCAGTTGTTCCCCTCTTTCATGGCCTTCTTCTCTTCTTCGATTTCTGTGTGAGCACAAAAGACAGATTGATGAGAACTGTATCTTGGGAATGACTTTCAAACTGTAAAATATAAGATTACAGTCAAATATTTTTGTTCACAACCTGCTGTCAAAGAAGGTTTATGCAGGGTTGAAAGGAGAAACAGGAAAGAAAAAAAAATGTCACTATTGACATAATTTTTTTTTAAGAAAAATCTAACGGGTTTTCCTATGAAAACCCATTAGATTGTAGATATGTTATATAGGTTTATGGTATTTATAATACTCTAGAATTTTAACCAGTAGGGTAGGGTTAAAATTCTAGAGTATTTTAACCCTAAAAACAAGTACTCTACCGTAGTAGAGTAGTCATGTTTATATAGCAACTCCCACAACAGACGGTTTTCCACATAAATTTTCTGAACTGCATTCCAGTGTCAGACGTTTCAACCTCTGTGTTTCCAGAAATGATCAGGTGTGCGTGGAACACAGATGAAGAAGCGCTCCTGTAAAATACCACAAACTAGCACTTCAATCTAAAACTGCTGTCCCAATGTTTCCCGTCTTACTATGCAAACTGGCGCATTGGAAGAGGGTCTAATGTAAGGAAATGAAATGGATTTTGAGGAACGTCAGGTTCTGTTCGGCCTTTGGAGCATACGTTTCCATTCTGATGTACTCCCTTGCCGAATAGTGGACGTATACTAGGATCAATGGGATGAAATTTACTTTTGTTCATGAGGTACAAATTGTGCATCAAGTGAGTTCTAAAGTACTGCAGAAGAAGTACTAAAACATATTTACATATTTTTTGGTTTTCATACAATGTTTTCTATTTTGAAGTTGTGGCCTTCCAGTCACCTTGAATACTTAAGTTACACATGTCGCTTTCTTCTTTCTAAACTTAATTTTAATGGTATTTTATCTGAGATTCAGGCAGACAAAGTCAGAGCAACATAGGACAAATTTCACTGTGGGTACTGACTGAGAAAGGGCTTGGTATTGACACACCTATTGGTGGAGAGCACAACCAGGGGTGTGTCAGAGGAAACAATGTCTTCTCAGATAAAAATGTAATACTAGCCAAACAGTCTTATAGGGTATTATTTTTGCAATGAGTGCTTATTTAAGAAAGCAAAAGTAAATGAGTTTGTTATTTTTTCTTTACTCTTTTTTTTGTTCCTTTTTGCCTCTAATAAATGCAAAGCAAAATGTAATATAGGCATAAAAAAAAAAAAAAAAAACTTCTTCTGTGGCTTTCACAACAGTAAGCCATAACAGAAAGCCTAAATTATCAGTGGTCCAAAGGGCCATTTTAACAAAATTTATGAAAGATATGAACAGAAAGAAAAATCACGTATTATTTAAAGCGAGCCTTCAGAGGTTGTGTTGGGAAAAAAAAAAAAAAAAACTCATAAGAGCTGCCTAAATAGTCTAAATATAAGTTACTCATTCAGAAAAAAAACAACTTTGCCTTCAGCTAATTATTACCTAAACTTTAAACCAACCACCAGGCATGAGCAGCATCTTCAATAACTGACTGGAGGTACATAGAGATATGAACATCCTTATCAAATATTTTTGCATTAATTACTCTAGTGTCTATGGTCTTAAATCCTCCCATCATCCTGTTTTGAAGAGGACAGTGAATTCAATGCTCCCATTGTGCTATGGCGGCCATACATTTATCTTCCTCCTTTTATGAAGTGTTCCAGTAAGAAACTCATAAAATGAACATGTGCCAGCAGAGCCTCCTGTTTCCCCGCTTCCCCTGTGACACACCAGTCTGGGCTAGATTTAGACTAAGAAAGAGGTAGATCAGCCTCTGGGACCCTGGTGGCAAAGAATGAACATTTTGAGACACTTTTCACATGCAAAAAGAGATCCTGAATGAATTACTCTCCTGCATGGTTGCTATTTAGTGCTATGTAAAGAAAACAAACACACATACACACACACAAAAAAAACCCTGTACATTTTCTCCTCTTACTAATCAAGAAATAAGGAAGCTCTTCAGGGTCATAAAATTTATAATAACTGTAAAAAGATAAAACAGGCACATATAAATCAATCACTTGCATAATGCACTTGTGGGCGGCATTATGCATCGACATTTCATAGAAAAGAGGGATTTGCTCTCAGGTGGCTGGGTGTGTACACCCTTCTGATATGTGATGCAATGTTTGCCTCTCATAAGGCTAGGAAGGGAGGAGTTGAAGCACATTGAAGCCAAGTAAAGAAAAGGTAAAATTTGAAGCAGGTGTGGACAAGACCAACTTTTGTTAACCAACTCCCCCGTCCTCTGCTCTCCTTCCACTTTTAACACCTACCCTCCTTGGTTGGGAGTCGGTTTTTCTCTTCTGTGTTCGTCTTCTTGAGCTTCTGCTTGTTAAACTGCTCCACTTCTTGATTGACTGGGTTGTTGTCGCCCATTTTGGAAGAGTTCTGTGTGAAAAGAGGGGAAGACGTATGCAAATGTGAGGCGCATATGGACAAACAATCTGCAGCGCACGCCCATAGAGAGTGGGGGGGAAAAAAACTAAGTTACACCTAGGTTGAGAAAAAAAATTTCAATAGAGGTCTATTTTGGAGGCATAACACGTAGGCTAGTCAGATATTATGCAAAAACCTCAACAGAGAGCTTTTGTTAGGATTCGGTTCACACATTTCACCGTTACGGTGAGGTAAACTGAATTGGGAGGTAAAATGATGAAACTGCCCACTGATTTGCATTTGTGTGTGGATATTGAAATGTGTAATTTGAAATTAGGTTAATACTTATTTCAGGAAAAAAAAAAAAAACTACCCAAGTATTCATTGTGCATGCAAATTAAAGGCACAACCTTTGTGGGATATTGCCAACCCACTGAAATCTTATCTGCATGGCTAAATTCTGAACCACATGAAATGTACAAACAAGCGGATGCACGATGCGACAAAACAATAGCATTAAGTGATTTATTAGTCTAGCTTCCCTTACAGTGAAGACATTTATTAGTCAAGCTTCCCTTACAGTGAAGAATGCAGGAGTGCCAGGTATAGCTGAACGGTATAACCGTGCAATTCGCATGCTAAAACAACACTGCTTTGTAGTGGCCTGCAGCAAAAATGTTATATAACACCTGGCAAAGACTCGTGAGACCTCATAAACAGAAAATCATTTATTTCAGATTACACTGATTCTGTATTATTATTTTTTTGTAAAGCACAAAGTTTAATTTGTCAAATGATAGAAATGGTAAAAAGCTGTTTTTTACCTGGTACAGCGGTGCTCTGTGAGACGGTCCTCTCCAGGTAAGATGCGCCTGTGTGTAATCTGTGCAAAGCTCGGAGTTTAAATAGGGACAACACGCCCTTCTGCACGCCAACATGGACACTATCGCTCTGCTTCTCATTGGCTCCCACACATCAGGGGGGGAAGCATGTCAACTGGACATGCGTCATATTACACTTTAGTGTACTTCCACCAGCCGTCCTGTTATCACAATTTGTTGCTTATATAAACCTTTTTTTTATTATTTTCTTTATCTCTCCTACCTATTGCAAGAGAAGCGACGGTTTTTAGAATCGTACGTACAAGCGTACATATTTTAATACGTAGAATTGTAATTTTTAATCTTTTACGACATCTCCATCTAGTGGACTTCATTTGACATGACACCACTAGCCGATAATGGATGACGGAAAGAAAATGCAGCAATGCATAATTGATCAGATTAGTTTACTATTGCATCTTGATGAGGAAAAAAGCGAGCATGGTATATTGATCCGATGCGAAGTGGTAGTGCTGGTTCACTGTTACTCAGCACTTCAATACAGAGGTGGGTCTTGCAGCATAAATGCACTTAAATGCACGGAAATTGCACTTCACACACAACCAAACACACACCAACTCCCCAAAGTTTATGTAGGGAACATTAATATATATATTTATATAAATTTTTATAGCTATGAGAGAAGAATAAGAACAGAATAATATTGATTTAAACAGGCAGCTAAATAATATTTTGGACTAAGTATCCCTTATTCACAAATCTTCTGTAATCACTTCAGAATGATTAGGTAAATCTTTGATCAGACCGTTTTTGTGCTTTTCATTCTTGCTACTGTCTATGATAGTTCCAAAGCCAAGGAAATATTGAAAATATATAAATGTCCAACCAAACAACCTGTTCACCTAAGATGTTTTTGGTTGAGACCTCTAAACCTGTAAGATCTTAGATGGTCAAATGGAGTCCAAACATAAAAACATATAAATAAATAATACACCAGCAATTTAAAAATGGTCACATCATAAACCACAAATCAGACACTAGCATCAGCGTTGTGCAGCAGGGAGGCCATTTGCAAGAAAGTTTAATCCTTAAGCAGGACTGTGCTCTCAATATGACAGTAACCTAAAGCATTCTAGTAAATCTATCTAGTCAAAAGGGACTAGTCAAAGCCCAGGTTTTTATTTCATTGACATGCTGTACATAGGGTGATCTGAAACTGGTTGTGCAGGCAAGCAACCCCTCAAATACATCTCAACTGAAAGTGACTAAAGGGAGCAACACTCATTATGAGGAGGTAGAGAAACCAAACTTCCTCCTCAGGTAGAATACAGATTTTTGTAGATAATCTTTGTCTTATGAGTGAAACAATGTAAATTTTTGTTGTCTGTTTCCATGTACATTTCTCTGTTTTTCCAGACTTAAAAAAAATTTGATTAGATTTTGAATTGTGAACATTTCTTGATTTAAAAAAAAAATTAAATACTTAATGGGGTGTCCTATTTTTCACAGAAATGTATAGCAACATATTTATGTCAGTCAGTGAAAAATGGCTGTTTTTTTTTTACACTATAAGTAATTATGTAGTTTTATCTGTATTTCTACATGAAAACTGTAAATAAGGACTAAAGATTTCTTTTAAAGGCCAACAGAGTTTATTATTCAAAAATCAGTTGAAAAACAACAACCAGATACAAAATGCATAAAAATTCCTAATCATTTAAGATTAATTTAAATTCACAATGCGGAAGACAATAAATAATTAAAAGGTCAAACTGACGCAGTTGGTTTACAACATTATGATTTACTGTTAACTTGGTTTTTTCTGGGTGCCTGTAAACCACGTCTTAAGCTGCTACCTACCTTATTTGACAAACCTCATAGCAACAACAACAACATTACTTACAGGACATATAGAAGTGTCTTGATATTGCACTGTATGTAACATTGTCTTAATTAATGTTCAGTCAACATGCATTTAAAGGCAAACTCTTTGCTTTTTGTTTGTTTTACATATAAAGTTAAGTGACTGCATGGTTATCTGATCACATTTGTTCAATAAAGACACCGGCTGTGTTCTCCAGCTAACCACTCTATTAGTAAAAATGCCAGACTATATCTTTAACAAATATGTAACAGCATTGCAATGAGCACAAATTCCCCTAAAAGTCAACAAGAACAAAGGCGTTTAAAAAAAACAAAAAAAACAAACAAAAAAAAAAAAACAGCACCATAATCTGCATAAGACTTGAGGAACATGAGAAATATTCACCAAAGCTTCTTGGCAGTAGTGACATTAGTTTGCAATGTTGGACACAACACAGGCAGCATGTTGTTTTCATCAAGGTAGATGTGCTACAATGATTTAAAGAGATCAGTCAGTATTTTTAAGTTAGGTTGTTATAAGCAGTTCACATTTAACATGGAGGAAATCATTTTCTTTGTATTTCATTCATAACAAATCAAGATTAATTGGTCCCAGAGGTTGGAGCCACGTTGGTCCAAGAATAAATCCAATTTTTAATGTTTTACAACTGAAATGACAAAAAAAAATGTTTTATGATGTTTCATCAACCATGTTTGCATTGGGTGGTTATATACAAAGAAACTGATGATTATTTAAACAGGAACTGGATGTAGAAGTTGGTGCTCCACCAATAAACAGATACTTTGAACAAGACATTTAGCATTGCCAGTCAGAATAACTGCAGAAAACTAAAGGAAGTGTAAAAAACAAAAAACAAACAAACAAACAAAAAAAACAGTAAAATTACATTCATTTCAATTGCAAGTGAATGTTGTTTCACTTGCAATCGGAATAACATTCACTATTAGACTTTCCTATCCATGAGTTACTTTGTTGAGAAATACTTTCAACATTTAATTCTCTGTACAAGTTGCACAAAGGAATCCCACTGCCTCCAACCTCAGTTTCCTGTGAAAACAATCATCAGTTTTCTTTCAAATAACGGCTCTAACACAGTCACAGGTCCCGGAGTAATTTTAACTGAGATCTGGAACACCTGAGTTTTACTCTGACGAATCAGAATTTCTTCTGTAAGAAAGGCCTAGACTTCAAAAACCTACTAAAACTTGACATAATCAGAAGAACAAAGCCTTTTATCATATTTGCACTTAATGAGAAGCAGGTTTTACGCAGAATAACTTTCAGCATCCACGTTTAGGAGGATCCTTTCTGTTGTCTGTCGTAAATAGCTGTGGTGATTCCCCACGTAACGCATGACCTCAGGATAACAAGGCTCCCTCCTCGATACAACGAAATCAAGCTGTGATTCCGAGATTTCCACAGCTGCCTCCAACATGCAGTGACACTCTTAACCTCTCCTCCCACCTGTGCTTGCATGTTTGCTACCAGCACAGACAGAGGGTACAGAGTCAAGCTGATTACCATCGAGGTCACCGTTCCCGAGACGAATGAGGAGACCAGGGGGGAGAGTCCCTGTCCCGCCACAACGGCACACACAGGCCCCTTCAGGCCAAAATACAGGGAGCTGCCGAAGGCGTTGCGGGCTGCGATGGGCAGGAAGGCTCTGTAATAGCCCTGGCTAATCCTTTCTACCTTCAACTTCATGAGAACACTCCTCAAGGACGGCAGATGCTTGTCATTGTGGCCATTCTGCAGCACATTCTGAACTCGCTCGAATGGAGTGAAGACCACGGCTTCCACAACACCTGCCCCAAATCCAGCCAGAGCAGGCAGGGCAGCGGCAGAGGTGGTGGTTGACGGTGAAAGATGACGGAGGAGTGTGTCCTGGAGGCCGAAGAGGAGCGTGCCGTTCAGGGTCCTCATCAGGAGCGGTGGGACCACGCCCCGATAGAGCTTGAGAGGGCCCTCTTTGTAGAGCTGTCCCACCGCCTGGTGCACCGGGGCGTTGTGGATCTGCTGACGGAAAATGGTCTTGTAGACGGGAAAGACAAAAACGGTGGGGAGCGTTGACAGCAAGCTGGAGGTTCCTCCGTGTAAGTAGCTTTGAAGGCGAATGATTGTGTTCTGAGAGCCTCCATCCTCTTGTTCGTGATCAGGGCTTCCTGCCATCCCAGAGCTTGGAAAATTAAATTTGCAAATCGTGTTAGTTAGTCTTGCACTGATACGAGACGAGCTCAGCAGAGAACACAATGTTTGTACATTGATTCTATAAAATAAAATCCAATATTAAAAAAAAACAACATAAAGAAGCAATTAGGACAAATTTTTTTGTCATCTCAAATAAACAATTTTATTAATTATTTAGACATTGTGTTTCCCTGGGTCAAAGATATTATTAAACATAGATGCCCATTTATTCCACTCACAGCCCATTAGACTGGACGAGATTAATTTTAGCACCACAAATTATGTAGCAAGGAGTGGCACCAAAGGGGTCAAGTCTCCATAACAAGGCTTTCATGCTGTCAATTGCCAATAAGTATAACAGGCATGCACTCAGCAGTGATGATTCTTACTTATCAGGAATAAAGACATTTGTAGGAATATACTACATTTATAAATTACTCTTTAGAAAAGATAAATAGTATTTCTCATTCTGGTATTTTTCCTGAAATACTAGAGTAAAGGCTTAAAAGCTTTGGAGCTGTCAGTCTGCTGTATTTTCCATGCACAAATGAAACTTGTATGGCTACAGCAGTAGTTTCCAATCCTGGTTTTCAGGCCCCTTGACCTCCATATGTTAGCTCACCTGGAACAGAGACACCTGATTCAAATGATTGTGTGATCTCCTCTGCATGTCATCTAATGCTGCTGAAGCCTGTTAATCACCCTGTCATTAAAGTTAGATGTGTGGCAGCAAGTCAGGAGACACATAAGTCATGAAGGAGAAGAGAAGCTTGAAGACCAGGTCTGGGAACAACTGGGTTAGAGAGAACAACTGGTTCTAGCCCAGCTTCCGCCTGAATTCACCCCTGGTGATGAGTGCCCCCCTTTCCTGTTTTTTTCAATTGATTCTGTTAGTTTTTAAATCAATCTAAACACTTATTTCAAAAAGTAAATGTCGTTAAAGGTAACGTACAATACAGAAACGTATTTAAAGATTCTGAAAAGAAAGAAAAGAAAAAAAAACCCATCACGTTAAGTTGCATGCCATGTGCATGTGTTGTGTTTTC